TCAGCCAGACACACTATAATACGTATAGGAGCCGAAATAATTACCTATACTATTTTGGGGGTTTCTTTTTTGTAGTTATAGTATCCCAAAACCCTATTCTAATTCTTAGTTTAAGGCCCCTACATTGACCTGCATCCATTTAACCATCCCAAACCCACAGCCTACACATGCTACACGCATACAAATACTCGTCACCGGGCTTTGTGTCTATGTCTCCATTCCGTGTTCCTAAACCCTAAACCCTAAACCCTGTTGTTGGTGCGGTTGTTCTTGGCCGTGGCCGTTGATGGCAGATCGCTTGGTTGGCGCGACGGGCGGCTGCCGAGGTGCGACGAAAGATCGCAACATGGCTCTTCACGAGCCTCGATTGGGCAGGTTTCCCAAAGGGTCCAAGTATTAATATGGTAGCTACGTTGTAGGTATTTGGGCCCCAACAGTATATACCATACTATAACTTGGACCCTTTGGGTTTAAGGGGGTTTAGGATATACCAGGGCCCCAGAGGGTTTAGGGTGTAGCGAAGTGGCACAGCGCAGGAATAACTACGTAGACAGCCATGCTACTGTACAGCCGGTTTGAATTGCTGGACGGATGCAGATACTCGGCCATACGTATTCGATCTACTCCTGCAGCATTTCGTTTATTCTTTGAGGAACATCGCGTCATAGAGTGCTGTCATAGAGTGCTGCTGTTGAAGACTATGGCAATGCGTCATGCTGTGACATGGTTCATGGATGTCAAAGTGTTACGTTGCAGACTACGAGGATCCCCCAGGGCCCGTAGGATTATCATGCTACCAAAGACTCTTATAGCTCTGCTCGGCAAGTGGAGAGCTAGTTTTTCTCTTGTCATCGAATTAGTTGCAGGTCGACGTCGGAAGTGTCAGCCATCGGGGTACAAGATACCTTTCTGAGCCATGTGCAAGGCCAACTCGACGAGGCTGCATAATAGTAAAAGCAACGACGGCATCAGAGCTAGTTGTTGGCAACAGATTAGCCACTACAGCAGGTGATCAGCCCCCCTTTCGGATTTTGACACGACGTGGGTTTTGTGGTGAGAGTTGAAACTTTTTCGTCGGTGGCCCCAAGCTTGCGGGCTCACGCAGGACTTATGCGACGTTGAGATTTCTTTGCACATGCGGTAGGTAGCCCTAACCCCCTAGGTACCTACTATACAGGGCCCTGGGGCTCTAGTACCCTACATAGTAGGCACCTGGGGGGTTAGGGTAGGCTTGGGGCTTTATTTTGGCACGCTTGGCGACAGCTGTTTCGAAAGCCTCCTGTTACCCAGCAGCTGTGCCCCTTCCTAGGTTTTCATCTACTGCGCCACTCACTGACTAAGTCACTACCACTTAAGTCACTACCACTTACTATTTGTGCGTTCTTACTCGTCTGGTAATAGTAAGGGACGCGGAAGATGAACCCGAAATGGCAGGATACTTATCTTGGAGACTCCCCTTGAGGATTAAGTCTTGACAAGCCCCATGTGCTTGCCCTGTGGACTGAGGGAGCAGGCACTTCTGGCTTAATCACAGCGACTGCAGCTGATTCGTTGGGAGAGCATCCTCGATTTTGATGTATCAACTCGGGGGACCGAATGGTAGGTTTAGGGTTTAGGGTTTAGGGGTTTAGGGGTTTAGGGTTTAGTTTAGGGTTTGGGGAGCTTTAGGTTAGTTTATCAGACCAAAACAATTTGACTCCATTCAAGCCGAAATTAACGAGTCCGGTAAAGAAGGGGACGTCTCTCCCTCCGGGCATGTGCTTTTCGAAGCGGACTTTTGCTGCGGCGGCAGGGGAACGCTGGTGGATTTCTCAGGCTTTGAGGGGTTTAGGACTTGGAGTGTAGGAGTGTATGCATAGGATTTAGGGTTTAGGGTGAAGGACTCAAAGTGCATGCATAGGGGTTGTAAGAGGATCGAATGGGTGAATAGGGGCTAAGGACGGTTCAGGAGGGCGCACGAAGATCTATGACGATGTGGACGGACTAAGTCCTACACGATTCTTGCCAGGATACAGGTCTGCAGATGCAAGTCAGGGGTTCGTCCCATGCGATACCACTGCCGCCACAGCAGAGAATTCAGATGTGGGCTAATTGCTAAGGAAGTTTGCATGTGCGCCATAGACGCAGCTATTCATAATCTTTCTGTGCCTAGTCCGACACCTTCTCCACATGTAGGCTATAGTAGCTAGATTCTAGATACTACTCTATACCCCCACTGCTGTTCTCCTGCTCTCAGATTCTGAATCTCCATGTATGTCTTGTGTTGACATATCTTTCCAAACGTCCTCGAGTTGCTGCGAGTGCAAGATCGCCGCCGTCTCGAAGCCCCTCCTTCGCAAACTTGGACTTGTTGCGTACTTGGGCCCCGCAGCTACCGGAACCTTTTATCTGAGACTGCCTCAGGGCGACATTGGATGTTTGAATCTGTGATTCAGCGCCCAGAGTCCAGAGTGCTATTCTAGACGAATGAGCAAACAGCCCTTGGCCGACGCCCACCGCGCTGGATGACCTTTCAATGCTCTGAGACGTCAGCATGTCCCGACCTGCTGGTAGTCATTGGAGTCCATGTGAGAAACGGTCGTCGCCGCCGGAGCAGCCCAAGCGTAGTGGCGGTAAGGGACGACTGAGAGCAATCAACGCTTAATCCCTCTGCCGGTGAAGCTCTGACTGTTGCAGCTGCGCCCTAGTGCTAGTGGCAGGGGTTTAGGGTTTAGGGTTTAGGGGTTTAGGGTTTAGGGTTTAGGGTTTAGGGGTTTAGGGTTTAGGGTTTAAGTGTAGTTGATTTGTCGCAGTTGTGTAGTAAAGAGTCGCAGGAGATGCAATGGCATGAACACGAAGAAGTAATGACTCTAAGACACGAGACCGTAGTGAAAGATGCAAGCCTCCATTGAAGATTTGGCAGGAGCGGGTATCCTACTGTAGCAGCTAGCCCTAGCATCAGTGATTCAGTCAGCCGGAGCATGAGCAAGTCGGGACACCTGCGTGTTGACGGCCCCGAATTGTCAATTTGCAGAGGTTGATCGGGACGAGCTATGAGATCAAAGATCGGGTCACGGGTACATCTCCAAAGCACTTGTGACGAACTGCATTATGCATTCCTTCTGTTTGATGCAAGCACTTCTCCCGAGAAGCCTCCTAATCCTGCGCTACATCCAATACCCTGACACAGTCTGGGCCTAGCCGTCTACAACATCCTGCTAGCCACCGAGTTCGTAAAAGTCCCCAAAGGGATGTATGATGCACGATGGCAGGCCCTCGCAATTTGTTCCTGTATATCTTATGCAGCTTTCAGGGCAGATGTGCAGACTCCTGCATCGCCAAATGTTCGGTGACAGCGTCCGCAGCACCAGATGCAGATGCACATAGACATCCGTTGGGATGTCGGCCCGAGATCACGATGCTACCACCTTAGGAGCGTCGAAGGCGATGGGAGCGTCCGTATAGACAAGGACCCTATATTTCTTGTCTGAAGCTCCCCAATGTAGCTGCAACAGAAGAGAGATTTTTGAGGTCCAGATCTCGCTCGTGGTCCAGCTATCGACGGAACGGGACTTTAGCCAGCTGCCTTTTATGGCTCAGGGTGTTCCGAGGCCTCGAACCTTACAGCACTGACTTTTGAATCCAAGGGACCCCAAGATCCTCCATTCTCAACCCTACGAGGGTTTAGGGTTTAGGGTACGCACCAATCCCTACATCCGAAGTTCCCCATGCATGTGCATCGAACCTCGAAAGAGGAGCGACGCCGTTATCCATGGTACAGGGGCCTAGACAATTGCCAATACAATTTTGGGGAGCTCTGATTACAATTATGGTATACTTACCCCCAAACCCTAAACCCCAAAACCCCATTGAACATTCTTAAGGGGACTATGTTACTCTTTTTACACGCCCTCTTTGGGTTCGATACCCTCAGCAGCCCTTAGAACCCCCTAAAAATAAACAAAAGGCTCACAACTCCCAGCGACCTGTTATGCGGCCCACAAGCATGTTCAATGCTCTTCTAAGAAGGTTTAAAGAAGTACAGACATGTTCAATACTATTCTAAGAGGGGTTAAAGAAAAACTTCAAATCCTTTCGGAGATCTTGAACTCCAATCCCAGAAGCCCTAAATAAACCCCTAAGCCCCTACACCCCGAAACCATGAAGCCTCAATCCTAAACACTAGACTCCTAAACTCCGAACATTGAACCCAATCCGAGATCCCTCCAATCTGAACCTCTGAACCCTAAAATGCCCTGAAACAACCCTGCTTCATCAAAGCCTAAACCACCTAAACTGATCAACGCCTAAAGCCCGAAGCCCTAAAATCCAAGATTCTCACCCCCCCCCCCCCAAACCCTGAAACC